CTCTGTCCTTTGGGTTTTTGTGGTCACATCCTTAAGCAGGTATGGCTGATTAAATCATTGACTGCTGGTGATAAACTCAATCTTCAGCCCCTCTTCACCTGCTTCCTGGGGATGCTGTAGCATCTCCATCATTCAAAAATTCAAAAATTAATTTTAGTTCAATGCTTCTAACATATTTCAGTCCCAGTGTGCTTTCAGCTGTATATGGTAGTGGTGGGTACTCATAAAATCATTCTGTTTTTTACTTTCAGTTCAATATTCAATAAATGATCAGAAGTTGGGGAGTGTGGGAGCAAGGGCTGAAAGTTCAGACCTTTTAGTCACATGGCTGGTTTCCCTGGCAACCACTTCCCATCCTGTGGTTATCTAGGAGTTTGACAAAAGTCATCTCATCAATGTTAACTCAGGTGTGGTTGAAAGAGACTTGTTCTGAATAACAAAAGGCTCCTTTCTATGCTTTATTGCTTTTATCCCTTAGGAAATTCCAAGGGTTTTAGAAGCTCTATGTCAAGAACAAGATGAAGACCAACATACAGTTGATTCTCAACTTACAATGATTTGGCTTACTATTTTTTGACTTTTTTGCAGAAGCAATACAAATTTAGTAGAAACCATATTTCAGATTTTGAATTTTGATATCTTCTTGGTCTAGTCATATGCAGCAAGATACTCTCTAGCAAGGCTAAGCAGTGGTAACGAGCAGTAGCTCCCATTCAGCCATGTGCTCCCTGGGGCAAACCGACACTTGGTATTGTCTTGAAGAACACTGTTGCTGCCGATCCATAAACAAGTGTCCTTGTTCCAGTGCCTTCTATCAGCTCTTCTTAAGCTTCACTGGAAGAGAGATAAATTGATGACCCTGTTGCCATAGCACCCCTATCATTCAAAAATTAATTTCAGTTCAATGCTTCAAGCCTATTTCAGGCCCAGTGGGCTTTCAGCTGTATACGCTAGTGGTAGGTATGCATAAAAACGTTCTGTTTTTCACCTTCAGTACAATATTCAGTAAATGACATGAGCTATTCAACATTTCATTCTACAATAGGCTTCATGGTAGATGATTTTGCTTAACTTTGAGTAAGTGTTCTACGCATGTTTAAGTTAGGCTAGGCTTATCTGTGATGTTCAATAGATTAGGTGTATTAAATCCATTTCTGACTTACAATACTTTGAACTTATCAAGATATTTCAATACATCAGACTTATTGGGATATAACTCCACTGTAAGTCATGGAGCATTTGTACATAGTTCATACTTTATCACTAGATCACATTTTCCCATGGCTTGGACTTATGTAAATGGTTACCATTAGAGGCACAATAAAATTTCGTTGATTTTTAGATGTATTGGCTTTGACTTTCATGGTGGTGCAATGATGTCTGAATGGCTGTTTGTTTACCACGAGCGAATTCCTATTTACAGACGCTTTGAATCCACCAACAAAATGTGTATTGGAAGATCAATGAATATGTATGTGTTCAATATCTACTGCATGCCTGACTGTGCTCAAAGCCTTCAAGAGCCACAACAATTCCTGAAACAAAATCATATTCCCATTTACCATATCAGCCAACTGACCCTCTGAAATAGTTAATCAAATTTGCCTGGCATTACCCAGATATTAAGTGATGATGCCAAAATTTGAAACTTAGTTTTCTGACTGAGAGGAAAACAAACAGATAAACAGAGAAGAAAATGTAAATCACAGCCAAATTGGATACTTGAAGTGCAAATCAGAACTAGGTACAGTCTTTAATTGTGTGGAAAATGTAAATTGCTACTAAAGATAGAACTTCCAAATTAAAGAAAGTGAAAATAGAGTGTGCCATATATTGTCTTTTGAGCGCTGTGCACAGCTCTTAATATCCAGTGTTAAATGTCTCAGCAATAGTCTTTTATGTCTGACAAATTGTCTAAGAGTTTTTGCAGGTCTGTCAAGTTTGTGATTTCATATAACGCAAAGTTTTCCAAGCTAACTCCAGCCTGTAATTTGTTCAAGTATATGATTTCTTCACATGGTTTGGTTGAGCCATAGGAAAATTCAGGGGAAGCAACACAGTGTGCACGCCTGTATTCTACTTGCAGAATAAATTGATTTATGCAAAATCACTTAATCACCATCACACAAGATCAAAAAAGGAGTGAACCGGTCACATCCCTTAGGTCAAAGTAGTTGAAATTACATAGCGAGCCCAAGGAATTACAATAATGATAACTTACATTTGTATAATGGATGCTAATATCCTGAAATCTTATATCTATATTAATCTTTCTTTTTAAGTATGACTACATAACCATTAAGCAGGTGTTCTGTCCATTTTATTTTCAAGGAACAACCAGGTATGGAAGCTAGTCTCCACAGAGGGCCCCCCTGTGAACCACGCCTCGTAATATTCTGCCTCTTATGCGGTCCTTTCCCACGCTGAAGTTGGACTGGCCTTGTTGAAACAATAAAAGGTGGGAATGGTTTCACTATGTAACATTTGCAACTTTTGCCTTGGCTTCTTGGAACATTCTAGAGAAAGCCAGCTACCATATAAAAAGTTCCACCAATAACTCTTAAGTCTGCCATACTGTGAGGAAACCCAAGTTGGCCACATCGAGGTGGTGTAGTCATCCCAAATGTGATTAATGAAGCCATCTTGGCCATCCAGATGAGGTTACTGTTTAGATGACTACAGTCTTGGCCACCATCTGAGTACAACCAGGTAACCCCCCAAGCAAAACTTTCCCAGATATTTCCAATTTATCCACAGAACCATAAGTGGTAGTAGATTGTTTCTTTATACACAAAATTTGGGAGTGGTTTGTTATATAGCCTTAAATAACTGCAATACCCAGTCTGTTTAGCTATTACTGTTTTTCCTGTTGCACTAAAAACACTACTAAATGAGGAGCATGACTTAAATCAACTCTCAGCTGGGTATTTGCTTTATAAAGAGAACTGTGTGGCACAGTGGTCTCCACAGAAAGCAGCAGACCTTCACTTGGAGAGCAAGTGATTAGATAACAGAAACACAGTGTGATAGACATTACAAAGTAGTTCTGAGTTCTCCCTTGGATTCTGCCACTACCTACATTATTTACTCCTCCAGGCCTCAAATCCCTCGGTAAAACAAGAAGTTTGGCTAAAAAGACCTGTAAGTTTCCTTTCAACCCTATCAACTGATGGAGCTGCTGTTGTGTATACGTATTTTTTTTATCTCAAGGAATACAAATAAAAATGTTGACAATTTTTATCTCTCAGTTATCTTGCTAAAAGGCTCTGGTTATTATTCAATGGGCACGCATCCCTTGGGCAAGAAAAGTCTATACATTTTCTTTGTTTTCAAGGGAGCGTACAGAAAAGTAAGCATAAGGCAAGATGAATAGATAATAGAGTTATTCTTTAGATTAATTACCTATTACTTAACAAATTGCTACAAACGTAGCAGCTTAAACCAATATACACCTATAATCTCCACTTCCCTGGGCCAGGAGTTCAAGCACATCCTATATCTTCTGTAGCCTTCCCAAGCAGCAATCAAGATTTCAGACAGACAACTTTCTTATCCGGAGTTGGGGCCCTCTTCCAAGCTCACGTGTTGTTGGAAAAATTTAGTCTTTGAAACTGGAGGATTGAGATCTTTGCTTTCTTGGTGGATATTGGCTGGGGACACTCTCAACTACTACTGGTCATTGCAGTCCCTTGCTACATGGCCTTCTGAAAGGCCTCTCATAACATGGCGGGTGATGCCTTCAAAGTCAGTAGAAGAATCTTTCCAGTGTGCTAAGTTGGAGTCTTACATAACACAATGTCATTGTAGCCCATCACCTTTGCCATTTAAAGTACTCTAACCAAGAGAGCAAATTAGTCATCTTATTTATAATTTCTGCTCATATTCAAGGCAAGGGGCTCTATGCAAGGCTTGTATACCAGTGGGTCGAAATCTTGGGGGCCATTCTAGAATTCTGCCTGCCGCAGTTTTTTCACTGATATTTACATTAAGCTCCCAATATCTATTGTTGCCTTTTTTGTTTTCTAACTCTTTCTATGAAGAGACATGTTGGAAAAGATATTCTCTTTTGCATTGAAAGGCATTATAGCCTAGAGGCAAATCATTCTATTTATGAAGAGAATATGCAGGGAACAAATCTGGCTATACCATTTACTAGCCATGTGACCTTGGGCAAATTACTTAATGTCTCTGTGCCTTGGTTCCCTATCCATATATAAAATAAGTAAAATAGTAGCATTTGTCTCATAGGTTGACATGAAGTTTAAATGAGATACTACCTAGATTTTAATAAACACGTGGCTATTAATCCTTTACTTTCTGTAGATGACACCAGCCATGAGAGCTAACTAGGAATTAGAAAGACTTACTTTTACATATTTGGAGAGTTTCTGAAATTGTGATCTTTCGTATTTGTCCATTGTTCATTTTCCATAAAATCCTCATAGAATCTCTGTGAAGAAAGTATTGTTATCCCTATTTTAAAGAAACGTACTGCAGGTTCAGAGAAATTCAGGAAATTTCCCAAGGTCACATAGCAGTGAAAAAGGCTGAGAAATAAACTACTAAACTCAGGACTTCAGAGTCCAAGGTCAGAGCTCTTTTCAGTACGCCAAAAGAAGAGCTTAGAATTAGGGTGATTTGTTCAATTAGCAAGTATTTATAGCTCTTATGTCAAGTATTGTTCCTATTTGATTGTTACTATTCTAATGGTAAACAAACACAGGAAGCTTGTATTGATTATTTCCTCTGGGGTTTGTGAAGATTAAATAAAACAGCATATTGCAAAGTACCTACCAGTGTCTGGGCCAGAGGGTACTTCCAGGAGGCAGGCCAGATCACGAGGTTGGGATGTGGTAGGCGGGGCTTTCGCATAAAACTGACAACTATTCTAGAGTTACCCTTCAATCTACAAACAGGTATTAATACTTCTGACTTACCATGTGCCTGGCACTGTGTTAAGTGCAAGAAGGTTGCAATCAAAGGAAGAGATATCCATGTACTAGTTCTAAGTGGAATATTTATCAAGCAATAGAAATGTAAGACATCGCTACATAAGTTGAAGCAATATATTCATATTTGTTGGGCTCAGAATTGTTTTATAGAAGTGGAGTTTAAGTTTGATATTGATGCATTATACCATGTTGGTAGTCGGGTGGGCCAAAAAAAGAGCATACTACTGGTAACAATTTCATCCATGATTGTATTTAACACTTTGCTATTTGCTGGCCAATAAAATAGTCTCATTCTCTGCTATCTCTCATTTAATTGGAAGAATCCTAATAACCCGTGGGTTGATCATATTATACATTTAAAATACAGAGAGAAGAAAACATACATGCAAGGTTAAGATCTTAGAGTGGATGTTCCAGATGCAAAGCCTGAGGAGGGGATTCCTGTATTCTTGAAAAACACATTTACTGAGAATAGGGTAGCAGAACAAATGGGGAAGGTAATGGGGAAAAGGATGAAGTTTGTGAAGAAATAAGCAAAAGTAGCATTTCAGGGGAAGTCTAGCCTCAGCCTGATCTCACAAGGAGCTCTGAGCATGAGTTGCACCAGAGGTTGTCCTGCCCAGAGGCGATGAGAGTGGACTATTACCCTAATACCCCCATGCTCCATCCCACATTGGTCAGCCAATCATCAGTCATGCCCTAAGCTTAGGAAAGCAGGGGAGTGGGTTGGCAACACTTCCCAGGCATCTTCAGGTGAGGAAACTCCTGCCAACGAAGGGAAATCCTTCAGAAAATAGTACAGGGTGAGCCACCAGAAGCCAACCTTTGTAGCAGCTGGGGCTAAGAGCACTTCCCTGGTAAGTGAGGTCTGGATGGAGTGTGAACAGCAATAGGTGTAGTCACATAGCTGGGAAGTAAGTAAAGGAGGGAAAAAGGCAGTGCATGTCTGTGGAATGGTTCAAAAGCAGTTTTATTCTGTCTCCTAAACTCCCAAAGGTTTTTAAACACTAAGTAACATATGCACTGAGTTTATACTTTTTACCTACTTTATCTCACTGAATTTGAGTTTTCCCCAAAACAGAGTAAAGTACATTCTCTGCCCATTTTTATTGAGAAGGAAATTGAGTTTCTCAGAATCTGAATCTAAGATCCCATGACCAGAGATTGGTAGAGTAAGGATGCACACCCATGTCCTCTGGCTCTCTCTCTCTCCTGTGATCTATCTGGGACATTGGGCAAAATGGAGTAAAGGTCCTGATGTCAGGGAGAACTAAAGCACCAAGGTAATTTCCTACATCAAAACAGTTTAGTGAGACAACTGAATCGGATGATGTCCTTAGCTTTGGCCTTCTTTCCTAGTGTGCTGTTCAGAAAACTCTGCACGTTGCTCTGGCCTTAGCTCAGGTTGAGTCTTCCTCAATCAGCTGCTTCCAGTTAGAAGCATGTTTTATCACGTCTCTGTTACATCAAACCCCAGCCACTGCTTTTCTTGAAGGTGATCTTGGCATCACCCTAACTGTCCCAACCCAAAACCTAGATGCCCATCATTTCCTTTACAGGCTCTGCCTAATAGACAGACACATATGCTTTATGTCTTATGTCTTCCTCCACAAATAGATGGACTGGAAAAAAAGCAGAGTAAAGACATTGGAGACAAAATTTCCTTTGTAAGAAGAATGTCTCTATCAACATGGGCAAGCCCTGTAATTTCTGAGTTTTCTTTTCTTTAAAATTAGTAACCTATTTCCTAACTCTCAGAGTTGTTGTGTTGGTTATAAGCAACATATTTGAAATACCAAGCACACGGCAGGTGTGCAATAAAGGATAGTTATTTTTATGCGACAGATACAGCTGCCAGGAGCCAAAGACACATGGGTGCCTGCTAAGTAAGTGTCCAGCACTCCAGCCTTGGAAAGCAGCAGCCTCTCATCGAGTTTAACACATTTGGCATGCCACTTAGACACATCTCTTGCCTTCCTCTACCTTCTACCCCCGGCCCTTCCCCATGACCACTGTCTTGATGTCTAAAGCTTCCCTTGTTTGGAATGCCCTGCTCTGGTGACACCATTGCCATCCATGCCACAGCTTTATGGAAATCCCACCATGAAGCCTTCCCATAGGAAGGTCAGGGTCCCTGTGGCCCACAAATTAAGTGACCTGCCCTGCTGTGTGACCTCTAGGAAGATTCTCCATCTCTTAGCATTTCTGACAAATGACATTCTGGAGAGAGTCTCTGATATTTTCACCTACTCTTGTGATATGTGTTATCAACATTTCCCATTTCTGGGCTATTTCCCTGGCGTGAGCAAGAATCCTTTCTTCTGAAAAAAATGATTTGAGACCAGGGCCACTTTTAAATCTCGGTTACCTCTTCTCTATAAGGGGGCTAGCTGATTTCTCCCAGGGATGTTGCTGAACTGAATGCCAAACCATGAAACACATCTCCCCACCCACACCATACACAGCCACATGTCTTTTCCCTTGCACTGCAAGACCCTGTGTATTTTTATTAAAACCCAGAACAAATAGTTAGTGACTGCTAGTTCCTGTTATATTTCCTTTTTATATTCTTGAGGGCTTAATACCACGTTGAGCATGTGGTAGTAGCTCAAGAAAGTACAATTTTAATAAATAATGGTGACCTGTGACCCCACCCCTGCAATCAGCAGGCACGCTGGGCATCGGCCTCCCCTGCCTGCAACTCCTTTCAGGTGGGTAAGCCTCCCAGGACAGGAGTAAAGCGCCCTGTGCTCAGAGGCACATTACTTTTCCTAAGCTCGCTAACTTTCAGGCTGTGAGCTGGTAACCAGAGGGTGTCAAAAGGATTTCAACCCTGTCTTATTCCAGGAGGGGCTGTTCTGACTCTGCAATGCCATGCGTGTGAATATGCTGAATCTAATAGCTGAAGTTTGGCTCGGTTGCTCTCAGCTGCCTCTCTGGAAGGACTCACCTATATCAGGCTGGCGCCTGTCTCTGTTAATGGAATTGGTAGGAGGCATGTTTGGGAGGGATCTGTGCCTAGTAGGTGCCCAAGTCACTGCATTTTGGCTCTATCAGGACAGGTCAGGGTCTACTTCAGGGCCTTCTTTGAATTTCACAGTGATTGGTGAGATCTATTAATAAATACCTTGGGTAAGTCTGGAGTGATGGCTTCTTACCTTTTCAAGGACTGGCTGGGGTTGTACCAAAAATGAATAAACAGACATTGCTGCTAGGATCCCCGATTCCTTGCTCATGGTAGACTCATTTGAACATTCCTTTAGTCACGACTCTGCACCCCCAAATAAAAACATATCAAATTTACATCCACTGATCATTTTACGCTGGACTACACCCTCCATTGACGATGCCAGCCCCAGTAGCTAGATTATGTTCCATGTGCTGGTCCTGTCTTCCTCCACTCCTACCCCCAGCTCTTGCACCAACAGGTCATGCTTCAACTAGACCATCCCTGTTAGGGCACAGGACTTACAGGCAGTTTGCAAAGAACATCTTCTTCAGAGTCAGAGACTCTCACTGCACTTTCCTTTCAGTCACCCATATTCCTGAACAGGTTTGGAAACTTGACTTAACCTTTCTGGGCCCTCTTATTTCTTCAGCTCTTCGACAAGTGTGATAAAAGCAAGATCCAATGACGCACTGCAGAGGGAGGCTCTCTGGCTATTGAAAAGTACCATGTCCACCAGAAGCCTGCTGTAAATATTTTTGCTACTTCCTCTGGGGAGATGATGGTTTAATGACAACTTTAATGGATTCTAAAGAGGAGGGCATCCTCTCTGCTCTCTGTGCATGATATAGGGTGGGGCACAGGCCATGCTAAGGTCAGGTCGGACTGGAGCTGCTGAAACATACCAAGGTGACTCACTTCCCTGATAACACTGCTGAGAAAAATGCAGGCTTCTTCTTGCCCTTCCTGTAGCTGGGACATACCTCTTAGGATGGAAGATATTTGGCACCTGGGAAGAAATGTCAAGTCAGGTCAGGAAGCACTGGCTCTGAGTCTGGGCTTTCCTTTTGAGTTCAGAAAAGTTTGGGTAAAAAATAAATACATAAATAACCTGTGCTTTGGCTGTAAGTGGCCTCTAAGCCTGAGCTTATAGTCAGTGTGACCTTGGGCAAGTTTCTCATGTTCTCTGAGCCTATTTCCTCCTCCTTGAAATTTCCTTCATGATAGCTGCATCCTGGGGTTGCTTGGAGAAATTTCAATGAGTTCTTAAGTGTAGGAGATGATTAATTATGTCCATTTCTGTCATTTTCCTTAGGCATAAACTATGTCTGGAAACCAGATTATTTTGGTTGTTTGTATTTTCTAACTATAATGAATGTTTTATTTTTATTAAAATGTCCGATGTGTTTAATTCTGCAAAATCTGAGCTGTGTGAAGATGCATGAAAAAACTGAGCCTTAGAAGGGTCTATGTGACCATCTCCAACAACCTGGCTATTAAAACTGAATACGGGCAGAGGTAAAACTGAACTCCAGCCTCTTCTCTGGGGACAACTGCAGTGGCTCTCTTACATGCTACCCTCAACTCTGCCCTTTTCTCTTTTTAGCTTCAACCCTTGGGAGCTTAAATTTTGTTTCACATTCAGGACTCCAAATTTAGAGTTGACTTTGAAACATACACATATTTATGTCTCAATGCATATGGAATATATGTCTATAATGCCAGTGGATCTTTCGGGAAATAAGCAGACTTTCAGACTAAGCAAAAGATTACTACCCTTCTAGTCAGCTTTTCAAAGAACCTGCAGTAGGAAGACACACATAGATTTTGCAGTTCCTCTTTTCTATTCTAATTGGCTTTCTGGAGGCCAGCTGCCACCTGGGGCAAAGTACCCAGGCCCAAGATCATTCTGAAGGCCAAGGGTTTAATCCTCTTTATCGTAGGTTGCCACCATTGCTGAGATCAGAAGCGCATGCAAATATACTTTGAGGCCAAGGTGGATCCCAGGGGACCTCTAGCCAGTTACTAGCCGCTTCACCATCCTGAATATTGCTTTGTTCACTTGAAGTTTACGTGTGGCTGAAATCCACATTCAGCTACCCGCTGAGTCAGGAATGGGTAAAACTGTGACCTCCAAAAATGACAAGGAATCTCCGAGGAGATAAATCTTACAATCTAAGTAATAATAAATCTGATGATCACAAGGATACATTAAAAATTAAAAAGAGCAATGCAGAAAAGAGAGGGGGGAGAGAGGATTATAACAGCCATGAAAAACATGTTTCTTTTTAAGTAACAAAGAATCTAGATTTTGCAATGAGTGTAACACAGACAGCTATTTTGAGTTGGGGGCAAGTTAATTATATTCAAAAAAAGATAGCGTCTCCAGAAAAATCTTTTTTTTTTTTCAGTGAAATAGTTTAGTTCCTTCATATAGAGACATATTACACAATGTTAACAACCATGAAAAACAATACAAAATGCCCTCCATTTAACAAGTAGAAAAATATAACTAGTATATATGGCAATTGTGAATCTAATACTGTACAGAGTACTTTATGGATTTTTACAAATAAATTATACCTTAAATGCTTTCTTAAAATTCTCCCCCCCCACCCAGATGTACACCAGAACTTACAGTAGGAAAGTTTCTGAGCTTAACTTATTGCAAATCAGTGCCAGTCAAATGTCCTGCCAACAAGCTCGAAGAATTTCTTATTTGGCTCATGAAAATATTCGTGCAGTTTATTGAGTAGTTTGGGATCCACCTGGGGGTGCGCCCGACCTTTGGACTCATGTAAGCAGCGGTCCCGGCCGCTGTCCCGCAGGCAGTAAAAGCCCTTGGTTTTGTTAAAGTAGAAGTTCGAGGCATTGATCTGCGGCGACAGCTTCAGGAACCTCTCGACCTTTTGGATCTCGGGGAAAGGGTCCCTGATGAGGCGGTCGCCGTCCACGATGTGGATGTGGCGCACCGGGAAGAAGCGCAGCCAGTTCTGCATGTGCACGTGGTAGAGGCTGCGGTTGAGGGCCTTGTAGTCCACGTTGAGCCGGCCGTCGCGCACCAGGAACTCCTCAATGGACGGGTAGGGCTTGCGCTTCTGCATGTGGTTGTAGAACACTTGGGTGTAGTCGGAGAGCACGCGCTCTGACGGGTCTCGCAGGATGAGCAGCAGCCGGATGGACGGGTTCATGCTGTGCACTCGCTCAGGCACTTTGGGCGACGTGAAGTACGCGGGGGTCTTTTCCACCGTGAGCTGGTGAGGCCAGGAGAAGGGCATCTGGCTGAGGTACCAGCCCAGGCCGTGGTTGTAATGCTCCTCCCAGTCGAAGAAGTGGACCTCGTTCTCCGCGGCCGCCACGTCGGGGTGCAGGCTGAGCATCTCCAGCAGCGCGCGCGTGCCGCCCTTGCGCACGCCGATGATGATGGTCTGCGGCAGCTGCTGGGCAGAGCCGTTCGGGGCCGTGCCTTCGCGGACGTCATCCTGGAGGGTCCCCGCTTTCCGCAGAAGCTCCTGCTGGCCCAGCTCCGCGGGGCGGGAAGGCACTAGCTGGGGCTGGGCCAGCAGCAGCACCGCGCCCAGGAGCAGCGCGGCCATGCTGGACACCACGGCGGCTTCACTGGGCCGCGCGCCGCTGGGTCATGAAGCGCCGCAGCAGGGAAGCCTCCCAGTCAGTGGCACATTGGTGCCTCAGGCCTTCAATTACTAGGGGACAAAAAGGGAAGATATTAACATATAACAAATGCGGGCTCATTCAACTAGCAACTCTGTAGCCACTCTGCAGCGAGGGCTATATTCACCTCCCCAGGACTCTCAGTTTCTTGTCCTAAACGGGAGCGGAGGGCAAACATTTTCTGCAAAAGGCCAGAGCGACAATACTTTAGGCTTTAAGGGACATGCTTTATGCCAACTCCAACTCCAACCGTGCTATTATAGATGGAATGCAGCCACAGACAACACACAAGGGAATGGGTGTGGCTGTATTCCAAGAACACTCTATTTATGGCCACTGAGTGAATTTCATGTAATTTCCATGTGTCATTAAATATTATTCTCCTTTTTACTATTGTTATTTTTTGCAAGCATTTATATGTTTAGCTGTTTGTCTGTAAAAAGCAGCGGTCCCCGCTGCTGTCCCACAGGCAGTAAAAGCCTTTGGTTTTGTTAAAGTACAAGTTGGAGGCATTGATCTGGGGCAACAGCTTCAGGAACCTCTCAACCTTTTGGATCTTGAGGAAAGGGTCAGGTCTGGCCCACCAGTCAGAGCGTGCTAACCCCTGCTATAAAGGAAAGGATTAGGAAGACCCTTTGGAACTCAGCAAATGTCAATAAAAAATCTGCTACCCAACAGTCCCTGGAAGAGAGCAGGAGATATAGAAGTAGGCTTTGTTTCTGCCCGCTACTCTTCTAGCCAGGGCCTCCTAATCTAACAGAGCATGAGAATTAGCATGAAAGAGTTTATAATTAGTCCCAATTCTTCACCTCGTACCCAACCCTTGAATTGGCCTTGCCACTAGCATGTGAGCAGATGTGACAACTCACCAGTCCCCAATCTGGCCGCAAGAGGCTTTGTGTGTTTTTGCTCACCCTCTTTCACTCTTGCCTGTGCCATGAGAAAACTATGTCCTGGCTAGTCCATGGTCCCAAGGGGAAGATGAGAGACACACATAGCCATCCCAGCTCATGAGCAAAGATGCGTGATTGTGGTTTTAAGCCACTGAGTTTTGAGGTGGTTTGTATTGCAGCGGGAAATTGGCAAAAGTTAATCGTTGCAACATGGCTATAGGCATCAGGGTGATATACGTTATGACTGTAATTTAGGTGGGGTGCTCTGAAGACACATGTTCATTCATTTTGTCTGAAATAATTGGGGATGGTTTCATAGTAGAGGAAACATTTGAAGTAGGCCTAGAGGGATCACCAAGTGAAATTACTCCAAAGAGCAAAAAGCCTTCATGTGTACAAAGCTTTACTATTGATAATGTGGCTTCATACTCAGCTCAGTTGATTGTCACTACAACCTGACATTAAGGTAGGAAGGCAGGGTAGATGTCACCACCATTTTTAAAGGGCAGTTTTGTCTAAGGACACAATTCTATTAGTCTGTTTCAAACTTCAGAGCTCCAAATTCAAAACTCTAAACTTGGTGTTCTTTATCCGCAAACCACCTCTTTTCCACAAAACTTCTCCTCTTTACCTACTTAAGATTTATAACATTTAGGAAGTAAAGTCTCTCAAGGACACAGGAACTGCTGGCCAAACGCTGTGGGGCTCCGCAAGACAGACCAGACAAGGGTTTATGTTTTCAGGGAGCCGATACTCATCAATCTGTGTTTCACACTCTCCCCAAAGGAGGAGGCTGGATGCTCTCACTTAAGTCATTTCTGTTAAAACACATTAAGGGAGGGGTAAGAGACAAGCCTGGCTTGGGGACTGCAGGATTTACAGAGCTAGTAAAAATGTTCTTTATCAAGAGGACTCACCATCTTTTGTATGGTAGTTTCAAAATTTACTTTGTTAGTTTAAAACTTGTCTAGAATGAATAAAGGAAGAACAAATTCCAGGACATCCATTTTTATGATCAACCAGCTGATCTACCTTTCTCAGATATTGTGTTATCTGCTTTAAAAAACATATTAAAGAGCAAGTAATCAAACAGATGGAAGGCTTTAGAGAACCACAATGCACTAGAGAAGGGACCTGAGAGATCAGTGATGTAGCTCTTTAAGAAAAAAATCAAAAATGCTTTAGAAAGGATAGCCAAGTCTGATGAGGTTTCAGGTTGGTTTGACTGAGTGGTGAGCCCAATTTAATGGGCCAGTTGCTTTAGTCAGCTGATGGTTTCAGGGTGTTTCAGTCGAACTTCATTTCCTTCTCAAGTCACCCATATGGTTCGACCAAATGTACCAGCTGTGCTTGGCTTTCACATGTTTGAGATGTCAGTATGTGCGTAATTGTGTGTGCATGCTTGCCTGTGTCTGTGTGTGTGTGCATGCACGTGTGTGCATGCAGATATAACAGGTAGGTCCAGTGAGAGAGGGACTAACTACCACCCTTTAGAGAGCTATACTGTTTGTTGGGCATTGCTATCCCCATCTTACAGTTCCGTGTTCAGACTCAGGGAACAATAGATCCAAATTATTCTATATTTAAGTGTAGAGGCAGAGACCAGATCTGGAATTCATATTATCTGACTGTTTATGCTCCTTCCACTCGAGCCTGAGGCATCCTGGTGAGTGTAGTGTACATCTGAGGTTTCTTTCCTGAAGGGGAATTACCAGAAGACAATAGACAAGAAACAAAATACAGTTTGTCCTTTCTGAAAGAAAACAACAGCACCACACTGGGAAGTTAAGTAGCTTAAAAGCTCCTTGTTTGTACTTTAATACTATCTAAACATATATTTACTTATGTCTAGACATTTCTCATTCAAAAATATTTGAGGATTATAGAGAAATAAATTAGTTAATGTCTTACATACACATATGCATGTATACATGCACACATACACACATGCTGTATATAGCATATACATCATGTTTGTAAATATACACCATGCATATCTTGTATGTGCATATATAAAAATGTGTATAAGTATATATGCGTGTATGTGTATGTAAATGTATGCACACCTATATTCATATCTAAACACAGTATAACCTGTATTATATTACATACACACTGTGGGCATTGGGAGCCAACTACTTCTTGTTGTGGTTTTGTAATTTGGACTTCCCACTGGTACTTGGGAAAGCAAGGCGGGACCTCCATTTGCAGGAAAGGCCTCCTTAATGTTGGCCAGACTGGTCTTGAACTCCTGACCTCAAGTGACCTGCCTGCCTCGGTCTCCCAGTGCTTGGATTACAGGCAAGAGCCACCATACTTGGCCTAATCACTATATAAAAAATTTCTAGTTGTTTTTGTAACACTCACAGAAACAAAGAGATTCCAAAGCTCAGGTGAACCTGTAAGCTATTCTTCTGGGCCACCTTGATCTTGACAATGAAATCACAAACATCAAGGATGAAGGAGTCACTTAGTCCCTGCCTTTCACACCCCAAGATGACTTGCCCAATGTCACATAGTAATTCTGTTCCTAGGACTTTTGGCTCCTGAATTCCAGTTCCATAGTCTAGTTGCTATTATTACTGTCTTTTGAGTAAGTGGTTATAATGCAAAATAATGACAATGTTTTTGGGATTCCAAAGAAGAAAAACCCAACAAAATATACCCAGCAATATAACTCCCTGGCCACCAACTTCCAGTGTCAGCTGACACCCAGGATATGTACCATACAGGGTCAAATTTGCTTATTTGTTCTGTTCAGTAGAAGGCCCAAATGAATTACACAGGCTCTGAGTTAGGATTCCTGTCTCTAGTTTGGACCTTAGTCAAAGTGACTTAACGTATCTAAGCTTCAGTTTCCTCATCTGTAAAATGGTAATAATTCTACCTGCTTCAAATGGTTACTTTGAGACTGAAATGAAATAATGTGTGTCAGGACTGTCTGATACAAATAGAATATGAATCACATATGCATTCAGACATTTCCCAAGAGTCACATTTTAAAAAATGTATTTTACATAACCCAATACATCTACAATGTTATCAGTCTAACATATAATTACTGTACAATTTTGTTTTTGAGACAGAGTCTTGATCTGTTGCCCAGGCTGGAGTGCAGTGCTGTAATCTCAGCTCAGTGCAAAGTGCAATCTCCACCTTCTGGGTTCAAGTGATTCTTGTGCCTCAGCTTCTCAAGTACTGGGACCACAGACGTGTGCCACCACACCTGCCTAATTTTTTGTATTATATTCTTAGAAGAGCTAGGGTTTCGCCATGTTGGTCAGACTGGTCTTGTACTCCTGACCTCAAGTGATCCGCCTGCCTCGGCCTCCCGAAATGCTTAAGCATAAGCCACCATACCTGGACTAATCACTATGTAAAATTAATGAGATAGCTTGCATTTTTTCTACCCAGTCTTCTAATCCCAAGTGTGTATATATTTACCTTTGTAGCACATCTCAAGGACACATATGGCTGGTGACAATTGAGTTAGACTGCACAGAGATAGCCAGCACTGGTCACATTTGCAATTCTTAATCTGAAAACTCTTTAAGTGTGGAAAGCACTCTCCTGAAAGCAAGATTCCTACCCACTCACAGATTAGGAGCTTCCTGAACAGGAAAAGAACCAGGAAGGCAGGTTTGAACTTGCAGCCAGCGCAAGAGGCAAATTCGTTCTTTTCCCTCAAGAAACAAACCCAATAAAAGTAAACAAATGGGACCTTTTGACAGTTGAAGCACTTGGCTGACATGGGCATGGATACAGAATTCTCCTTAGCACCTGTAGTGGAGGCCACACCCCTTGGCAAAAGCAATGATCGCAGCTCCCATCTGCAGCAATTGCTACTGAGCCAGCACTAGGCTGGCAACTTTCCAAGCAGGGCTTGCTGCAATCTTCACTGCAAGTCCTCAAGGTAAATGATGTTATTATTTTAAAAGTGAGGTTCAGGGAAAGGAAGTTGTGTGTCTAGAAAGTTAGAGGCAGTGAATTCAAACTCAGCCTAAACAGACAAAGCCAGGAATTTCACTGTCACTTTCACTTTTCTTGGCAATGTCTGGTGTTAGGGTGCATGTTGTTAATAAACTTGGCTTGGCTTCTCTGTTCCTGTTGAATATTTGTGCCTTGCACCAATTCTGTAA